ACCAAGAGAAATTATGGCCTGACCCCTCTTTAAGCAGTTTCTACCTTTGCAGCCCCACATCCCAGCCTGGCAGTGCTGGAGCTGCCTGCCCCACAGCACAGCACCTGCCCTGTGCCCGTGATCACCGTGCTGTGAAAATGACCTGGAACAGCCTCATGGACAGGGCTGCTCATTTATAATACAGCAGAAAAAGTCATTGCCACTGCCAAGAAAAGACAAAAGGCCACCAAACAATAACCCAGCTGTAAATGAAGGCTATAAGTATGGAGATAGGTGGGAGGTAACTACAGGCTTCCTCTCACACCAGGTTGGAAAGTGTCCTTCAGGTCAAGATGTTGTGTGTGCCACGAGCAGCCTTTTCTGATCAGAAATTTTTCAGTGGGGGGAAAAAAAATCTGCTATTCTTACTTTCCATAGGTCAACATTAGGATGCAAGGTCAGAGCTCAACTTTGAGTGGAAAACAGGGATAAGTGATGCCTGCGGCCCATGGACACCCCATGTCTCATATAGAAGGAGCTCCTGCAAGGATTTGAAAGTAAGTTTGAAAAATCAATTCAGAAATATGATCAATTGCACAGAACGAAGCTGTGGGGACAAGTGAGAGCAAAAGGTTGCATAAAGATCATGGTACATTACATTGAAAAATTGCACTGATTGCAGCTGCTTTCATGCTGTGACTGCCCTCCTGAAACAGTTCTCTGCAAGATTCATTGGGCAAAGGCTGAAATGTTGTTTAGTTGTGCAATAACACCATAACTGTGCCACAGCCATAGTTGTTGCCAGATGGGTAAGAAGGGTTGGTTTGCATTAAATCCTGAGAACATACTTCAAGCAGGAGTTTGCTCCTGCCACTGCTGGATTTCAGCCCAATTCCCGATCCCAGATGTCTGGCAGATGATGTACACACACATTCAGGGCTGGATTATTTTCAGCTGTGGATGGACTGTGTGCTGGCCGCATCACAGGAGCTACATGTCTCCTAAGAGTCAGATGGAGTCAGTGGCAGTAAGTGAAACCAGAAAACCTTCCTTTGAGGAGAGGAGAGGACGAATGAAACTAGGTCTAACAACAGAAAAGGACAAGGCACAACTGAATCTGTGACCTTGGGAAGCTTGGGAAGCTCCCGATGTTCCTTGGCTCGGGCAGGCTCCCGGCGATCGCCCACTGCCCTCTGCTGACACCAGACCGGAGCAGCCTCTGCAGGAGCCCGAGCGGCATCAACTGAGTTGCTCAACAGAGATCCCGAGCTCTTAATTCCTCTGGCAGCACAAACCCACAACAATTCCCCTCTGGGAAAGTGCTGGAACAGCGCTGGCCCGTCCCTTCCCGCAGCTCCTGCGGGGATGCCCCGTGTCCTGCCCGTGCCTGCCCGCCCGAGTGCGCCCATGGAAACACCCGTGATTCAGCCTCGCAGGATGCCGTGGAAAAACACTCCGAGGAGTCTGACTTCTGCACCACATCGTGTGTTAAGGGCATGATCCTCCTGTGCCAGTGGAGGGTATTTCTACGTCCGTGTGTCCACGTGTGTGCGTGTGCGGGGATTGCTCACAAACTGCTTCGCCTCCCCGGCTGATTCCTGCCTGGTCTCGGTGCCCTCTAGTGTTGTGAACGCTCCAGTATGTAAAAAACCTGTAAAACTGATCTCTGCTTCAGAGTTCCTGGTTTTGCTAACTCTCAATATGCAAATTCTGTTAATTATGCAGCACAGTTACAACTGAACAGAGACAATGTGACTCTGAGCATATCAGGTGCTCACAGCACAACACCAGACAGCCGAGAACACGGTTCTGTAAGCTGAGCTAACATCTCTAGGACCTCAGCCTGCACACCTTCCCCAAATCTGCTGGCTGTACAGCACTCTACCTGATACAGCCATCCCTCCCTCTGGGATTAGCAGCTCTCCCAGATGTTCTCCTGGCTGTGGCTGTGAGGTGCTGTTTGAGCTGGGAAATAATCCACCTCAGGATGTACTGGCTGGAACAGACAGGAACTGGGATTAGGCAGGACTGCCTGGTTTGGTCTCAGACTCAGAGCTGGTGGGCTCAGGCTGGTAGGAGCAGCGTGGCTTCCCAGGACCTCAGTGAGGACCACCACTAACCAACCACAAACCACCATTAACCAACCACAAACCACCACTAACCAGCACTAACTAATGACAAACCACTACAAACTATCACAAACTACCACTAACCAACCACAAACACCACAAACTACCAGTAAGCACCACTAACTAACCACAAACCACGATAAACTATCACTAACCACCAGAAACCAACCACAAACCACCACTAACTACCACTAACCAGCACTAACTAATGACAAACCACTACAAACTATCACTAACCACCACTAACCAACCACAAACCACCACTAACCACCACAAACTACCAGTAAGCACCACTAACCACAAACCACTACAAACTATCACTAACCACCACTAACCAACCACAAACACCACAAACTACCACTAACCACCACTAACTAGCCACAAACCACCAAAAAACACCACTAGCCAACCACAAACACCACAAACTACCACTAACCACCACTAACTAGCCACAAACCACCAAAAAACACCACTACCCAACCACTCACCACCACTAACCAACCACAAACACCACAAACTACCACTAACCACCACTAACTAGCCACAAACCACCACGAACTACCACTAACCAACCACAAACCACCACTAACTGACCGCAAGCCAGCACCCAGCACCGCAAACAGCCGCCGAGAGCCCGGTCTGGGGCAGCTCTGCCCCTGCCCACCCAGCACTGGGCGCTCTGCCGGCGAATCCTTCACTCTGATGCAATCGGCTTCCAGCAGAAACCCTGCCGGTGACCTCTGCTGACTCAGAGGGGGCTGTGCTCCGTGGATCCGCCCCGGTGCCAGGCTCCCGCAGCGGCCGCGGGTGTTTCTGTCCCCCGGGTCCCCCCACGGGAGCCCCCCCGTCCCGCGGCCGTGGGTGATGCAATGGGGCGATTGCATCAGACCGGCCCCGCTGAGCCGCCCGCCCGTGTGAGCGGTGAAATCATCATCCTCACCGCCCGGAGCGGCTCCTCCGAGCTCCCCTTGCTGCCAGCTCGCCTCGGTGACCGGCTGGAGCGCTGGGCTGAGAAATCCCACCAGGTAGTGAGGAACAGGGAGACAGAGCGCAGGTCCCATGGGGAGCGGCTGGGGGGGCTCCGCCTGGAGAAAAGGAGGCTCAGGGGGGTTTCGTGGCTCTACACAACATCCAGGGGAGGCTCGGTGATCCCAGGGATCAGCAGCAAGATGAGAGGAAACAGCCCCAGGTTGCACCAGGGGAGGTTCAGGTCGGATATGAGGGAAAACTTCCCTGAAAAGTGTCCAGGCAGACGTTGCCCAAGGCACTGATGGAATCGCCTTCCCTGGAGGTGTTCAAAAGGAGTGTGGAGTGGCACCTGGGGACACAGTTTAGTGGTGAACATTTGGACTCGATGTTCTTAAAGGCCTTTTCCAACCATGATAATTTTGTGAAGTTGACTCCTCAACAGAATTTCATTAAATCCTTTCAGTTATTCCAACTTGACAGGCTGGCTTCTGTTGAAGCTGCTCCACAGCGACAGTGGGCAGCTGAGGAGAGTTCTCAAAAGGCATTGGCTGGAATGAGAGCACTTGAAGTGTGAAAGGAAAGAGAGAGAAACGGGGAGCATTCCCCAAAATAATAGGTTTAAACCCAAACACAGTTCAGATACTCATCCTGGTACAGCAACCAGTACGGCCCAGGGCACAGAAATGAGCAGCACTGACTGCCCATCCTGCCCCTCGTGGAGGATGGGAAGGCAATGGGAAAGGAGGCGGAAAGGCAGCAGGGTCCTGTTGTGGGCCTGGGTCAGGACTGAGGGGGGACAGCACACTGAAGGGGAGCGCTAAGGGCTGTCACTGGGAAATTTAACTGCACAGGAGGTTCAGTTCCACACGCCAGTTTGGTTCACACTGTGGTGCAGTAAGTCATTGCACGGCAATCTTGGGATAACTCTGCGGCTCCCCAAAACCACCCAGAGACTGTGGGTGAGTCACGGCAAGTGCTGAGAGATGTTAATGCTGATCCTGGGAGAAGGATTGTTCTTGGGCTTTGGGCCGGTGTGTGCTGCCCACACAAACCATACACACTCTGCACACCCACAGTACACAGCGCACACACACTGCGCGTGGATACACACTCTGCACACCCACAGTACACAGCGTACACACACACTGTGCATGGATACACACTCTGCACACCCACAGTACACAGCGTACACACACACTGTGCATGGATACACACTCTGCACACCCACAGTACACAGTGTACACACACTGTGCGTGGATACACACTGTGCACACCCACAGTACACAGCTCACACACACTGTGCGTGGATACACTCTCTGCACACCCACAGTACACAGCGTACACACACACTGTGCATGGATACACACTCTGCACACCCACAGTACACAGCGTACACACACACTGTGCGTGGATACACACTCTGCACACCCACAGCACACAGCGCACACACTCTGTGCGTGGATACACACTGTGCACACCCACAGTACACAGCACACACACACTGTGCGTGGCACTCGGACCCCGGGAGTTTATTCCTTCCCGGTGCGTGTTCCCCCACGGCCGGCCCGGGGCTCCTTCAGCCTCCAGCCCGCCCCCGAGGTGCCGGACAACCCCGGATCTTCGGGAACAAGGTCCCGCAATCCCGGGGGGTCCCTAGTGTCCCCCCCGGCCGGTGGCAGCGGGACGCGCTGGCATTGCTGTGCCCAGGCTCCCCTCGGCGCGGAGCTCCGCTCCCGGCGCCGGTGCCGGTCCCCGCCGCCCCCGCCGGCGCCGCTGCCGGTCTCGCCCCGCCCCGGCGGCGCCGCCGCCAATGGGGCTGCGGGGCGGGGCGCGGGGCACTCCCGGTGCCCGGGACGGGACGGGTTCCGACCCGCTCCGCTCCACGCGGGGCCGCCGAGTCACTCGTGGTGCGGTGCCGGTCCGGCTCCGCGTCCGCGCCGTGTCTCCCGGTCCCACCGCCCTGCCGGTCCCGGTCCGTGCCGTGCCGTGCCGCTAGCACCGAGACAGGTAATCCGCGGGGGTCGCGCACCTGCCCGCCCGTTCTTGGCGGTCCCGGTCCTCCCCGGTGCCGGTGTCACCGCCGGGCGGAGGAGGTTGTGGGGTCGGGGGGACCGGCGGGACCTGCGGCGGGTTCCGCTCCCGGTAACGCAGCGACAGCGGTACACGTGGGCTGTAGCCGGCTCCGTGATCACCTCTGACCGCCGGCGGTACCGGGCCGGGCGGTACCGGGCCGGTGGGTGCGGGGGATGCGGAGAGCGGTGCCGGGGGATGCCGGGGGGAGATGCGGGGCGGCCGTGCCGCGGCGGAGCCCCTGGCCGGGACGTGCCCGGGCATATCCCGGCACGCTGCCGCCTTCCCCGAGAGGGCGGCGGGGGGCCCGGCGGGGCCGCGGGGGCTGCCCGGGCTGCGGGGGCGGTGGGCGAGCCGGGCCGGCGCTCGCCGGGGCGCGCCCACGGCCGGCACCCGCGTGGGCGCTGCCCCCGCACCCGTCCCGCCGCCAGCCTCGCCTCGGCTGTCTGCAGAAACCAGCAGCTGCCAGATGCGGGGGTCGCTAGGCTTAGGTTGTATATTAGGAACAAGTTTTTCCCCAAAAAAAATTCTTGCCCTGCCACAGGCAGTGGTGAAGTCACCGTTTGGGGAGATTTAATGGACGCGTGGATGCGGCACTTGGGGACGTGGATTAGTGGTGGCCTGAGCAGCGCTGGGGGAACAGTTGAACAGTTGGACGCCATGGTCTCCGTACGGTGGTTCCCTGATTATTGTAGCAAGATAGTGAAAGTTACTAAGAATTAAATGTGGGGCAAAAACCAGACGGAAATCCAAAGTTTTATGCAAGTTGATAGGCGCTTTGGAGGTGTTACCTGAGATACCTGGTAAGGCAAAGTGTGGGTTTCAAAGGTAAGGCAGCCCTAACTTGGCAAAAATCACCGGAAAGTGGGCATTGTGGCCTGGGGACTCCTGCTGTGTGCAAAAGAGGGGTGACAGCAGCCCGGAGGACTTCCTCTCCCACCCGAGCATCAAGCAAATACAGGTCCCCAGATAAAACAATCAGTAGGCAGTTCTGTTCTTAGAATTGGGAAACCTGCTGATTTCCAAGCCACGTGGAAAGCCTCAGATTCCACCTTTTTTGCTTCTGTCAGGAGCCCTTTGCCCACTGGAGTCCCACTGCTGCAAAGGCTCTCCCATCACCGTTTGTAGCACAGGGAGATGAGGAGACACTGCCTGGACCAGAGTGAGGGAATGGCTGAGCAGGAGACTGGAGCTGACTGTGGCCAACCATGAGGCATGCACTCATACTTTCCAGATAGCATTTTTTCCCCCTGCTTTTCACTTGCAGCTCTTATTTAGGATTTCAGCTCTTTGTTCTTAGGTTCCAATATATACAAGTGTCTCATCTTGAGGCATGGTGCTGCCTGGCTGTGCCAGTCAGTCCTGCAGCACAGTAGAAGTCTCCTGTAGTGTGTGTGCTGGCTCGTGTGGTGACATGGAAGAGCCACTGCTGGGGTGTGAGCCAGTGAGGGTGGGTCTGGGCACCTCCTGTCCCAGACAGGCAGAGACCCATGGCTGGAGGGGACAGGGTCTGTGGCTGAGGTGGGACCAGCCCCCACCCCATCTCCTCCTGGCCTGCCTGCATCCCTGCCAGTCCCCTCTGCCCCAGTACCTGCTGGGCAGATGGGGAGAATCAGCAGCACTGAAGGTTTCACTGATTGCTTTCATTTTGTACCTTTTCACTTATTATTTTCCTCACCCTTGTTTTCCTCCCAGAATCCTTTAGCTGCACACAAAAGAAATAGATTGTATTCAATACAGTCTATTTTTTTTTTAATTACACTTTCACAGAGAAAATACAATGGCTGAGCTGTAGTGTTGTCACAGGGTGGATGAACAGCAGCTCATGCTGTGGCTCTGCTGGAACCATTTCATCTCATGCAGTGAAACTCATTCACCAGCTCATGGCTTTGGTATCTTAAGGGCTGATGCAGTGCAGAGAGCCCATTCTGATCTCCTGCATAGGCAGGATGTCTCTTTAAGGCAATAAAAGAGTTCTTAAAACAAATCAGAGATGTTTTAAAGTTAGATCTCATACATCTGGGACTGGTGCCAGGAGATTCTTCTTCCCCTCAACCTCCGAGTACATTGATACTGTGCCCCATGTATACTCATGGTTACTGTGTCACCTTTATATTCTCCTGTGGCAGATACAATGTGTAGCCCTGGAAATGTCAGGGGGACACTGTGTGGTTCCCAAAGAGGTGGGAGTTGTTGGTTTTGGATTTTCCTTTGGCCTCAGTAAGAGCAGTTGTTTCAGTCAAAAATTAGGTGATCCAAGGTTGCTGCCATACCAGGGCAGTGCCAGGGGTTTAGATGTGTCCTCCATGTACAAATCAAAAGTCTTGGGTCTGGTCGTGTTGAAATAAGAAGTACAAAGATCCCCCAGCTTTGAATTTCATGCCTGATATTCAACCAAACGTTGGTTCCCTATATTGTTACACTTGAGCAGCAGCAGACCTGCCCTGTGCCCAGTATCCTGCTGGCACTTTGGGTATGGCTGTCTCCCCATCTTGAGTGATTCCATCATCCTGGCAGACGTCCTTGTGCTTGGAGCAGCTCTGACACAGGATTCCTTTGGCCTGTGTAACTTTCTGTATTTGGCAAACTGCTTTAAACCGGGTTCTTATGGGACGGGGGCTTTGAGGGCATTGTCTCAGCTGCAGGCCCTTGGAAAGGCTGGGAAATTCTGTAAATATATGAGAAAAAGTGACAAAGTTGTGTTCACAGGATAGCTTCACCAAAAAACTGTGTTGGTTTGGGGTTTTTGGTTTTGTGAAGTTTTTTTCACCTGTGCTTTTTTCCTTGCATTACAACACTTTGAAGAGCAGGTAAAAATCAGCCCTTTCCACACTCTGGTATCTGGGTTCCTTTCCTGTTGCCTGCAATTCTGTTTCATTCATCTTGTGCTGTTATCAGGGGCAATAAACCTGAACCAAACTCCAGGCCCCTGGCCTGCTGGTCCTTCTGAAGCAGTTGGATGACACCTGCCCGGTGTGCCAACCCCCCAAAAGGAGTTGTGAGCTGGGTGACACCTGCCCGGTGTGCCAGCCCCCCAAAAGGAATTGTGAGCTGGGTGACACCTGCCCGGTGTGCCAGCCCCCCAAAAGGAGTTGTGATCTGGGTGACACCTGCCCGGTGTGCCAGCCCCCCAAAAGGAGTTGTGAGCTGGGTGACACCTGCCTGGTGTGCCAGCCCCCCAAAAGGAGTTGTGAGCTGGGTGACACCTGCCTGGTGTGCCAGCCCCACAAAGGAATTGTGAGTTGGATGACACCTGCCCAGTGTGCCAGCCCCACAAAAGGAGTTGTGTTTCATTCATCTGGGACCTGGCTCTGCTTTTTGTTTTCCCTCCTGCGCTCACCCTGTAGCTGAACCCTGACACCAAACCCTGTGCATCTCCTGGGACAGAGACACTGGGATCACCACCTTCTGAGATGGTGCCAAATCTTTGATTCCCTGGTGTCAGGAACCTTCATGCTAGGTCTGAGCTGTGCCCGTGCCCCTCCCGAGGTGCTTGCAAGACAGATTTAGTGCCTTCAGCTCCTCTTGGCTGCTGATCCTGTATCAGCCATGTGCTGCGAGCAGGAGCTGCGTGAGGGAGGGTGACTCATGTGCTGTGCTCGCCTGGGCAGACCTCATCTCCCATGAATCCCGAGCCCAGCCAAGTGTCCGCTTCCAAAAGGCACCGGCAGGGAGTGGTGGGATTAGGCAGAGGAGGCAGAAAAAGCCTGCAGAGGAATGCTGCTGTGGGAGGGGAAGGAGTCGTACAGGAGTTGTTGGGGGCCCTGTAGATGATCCCCCCACTGCTGCAAGAGCCTTGCAGGGCCAGACATCTGGCCAAGCTTCCCTCCCAGAGGACAGCTCTGGTTCTCCTAGGCAGTTCAGGCTGTTTCCTCCAAAAGGTGTTCACTATTCCTCATGGGTGTTGAGAACTTGGTCTCAAGGCAGGTTGAACAGTTTCTCTCCTGATTTTCTGCACAAGGTAATAGGAAGGGCAAAGTGGAGATTGGACTAGTGAAAGTGGATTTTATTTATTCCCTGTTGTCATGGGAAGAACCCATCTAGAGTCTGCAGAAATAATCAGGCAACCCCAAAACTTCAAATAAATTGCTCAGTTTTGCAGCTTCAATCTGAATTGCTTGCTCTGATTGAGATGCTGGTTCTGTGCTGCCCTTTGAGCCACCATTACTGACAGTGTGGCTCCTGGGCTGGTTCTGGGCTCACCTTCTGCTGAGCCATTAATGCACCTCGGGCAGGCTCTGGAGGGTGTTTCAGAGGGAGGTGGGAACTTGTTCTGCTGGCACACAGCAGACCACAGGTGTGTGGGTGTGTGTGTCCCTTTCTGTTGGGGGTGTAGAGTGTGTTTGGGGCCGTGTGTCCTGTTCTGCCAGGGACACATCAGCCACCAGCATTTGGTGCTGTCAGACTGGCCTCGTTGGCCAGAGCTGGGCTGCTGGATCCTGAAGCTGGGGCTTTGCTGAGCCTTTGCTGGGACTTTGTTGAGCCTTTGCTGGGACCAAGCTCTCTACTGATTGTCTCTGGTACCCAGAGCCATGGCTGGGGCTGGCAAAATCCACTGGTGACCTGAGCAGTTAGTGGTCAGTACTTCAATACTGTGACTAAAATTTCATTTGATGCATTGTGAGGCTGTGAGATGACAACAGAATGTGGCAGCTCATCACCAGCCTTGCTGGGAAGTCTGGGACTGATGGAGCTATGTGGAAGGAGCCAGGAATTACCTCCTGCTCAAGTTCCACCCACAGTGCTCAGCAGTGTTGGCTGCTGTCCTGGCCAGGTGGAGATGGCCCAGAGATGGGCACTCTGCTCATCCCAAATGTGTTAGGGCTGGCTTTGAAAACTCTGCCTTCTCTTCCTCTCGTCCCCAAGCTCCCCTCTCCTCTTCAGCACAATGGCCTGCCAAGAGAGTGAGTACCTGGATGACCAGAAGAAATGTGTCCCCTGCAGAAAGTGCATGCCCGGGCAGGAGCTTTCCAAGGTAAATTGACTTCTCTGTAAGGAGCAGAAATCGTCATGGGTGGCACAGCTGGGTTAATCCTCTGCCAGCCTCTCTTCAGAAAGATGATCTTAGGTCCCAGCATGTTGGGAAGAGCTGAGGCTTGGTAGAATGGGATGGTGGATTGTTTCACTTACCCTGGTAGCAGGGTGAGACAAAGGAAGCAGGAGGTGGTGAGGGATTTAAGGCAGCACAAGGAGCAACTTAATTTCCTTTTTTGCTGGTGGAAGTTTAAATTTCCTCTGCTCTGTTGCTCCAAGCAAGGTCACACTGCATGGCTGGGCTGCACATGGATGGGTGCCAGCAGGACCCTGCTGCAGGTGGTCCCAGCCTGGCCTCAGTGGTGGGAGGCTTGGATTAATGGGAGGCAGCAGGGTTCCCCTGGTGGTGCCTCCTGGGCCGTGGTGCTGCTGCAGCTCTCCAACACCCAGGGACCCCAGCTGGGCAGCAGACGGGGTCACCGAGTGTCTCCTGGGAGCTGCACTGCTGGTAGCTGCTCTCAGCTGGGTTCTGAGCACCCCCCATGCACGGTGGCCCTTTGCCCCCAAAGAAGGGACACTGTTTCCCTCAGAACCATCTGGAACCCATGGCAGCCCTCACCACAGCCGTGCCCCCAACCTCGTGCCTTGCAGGACTGCGGCGACGGCAGCGGCGGGGACGCGCAGTGCGTGGCCTGCCCTCCCAGGAAGTTCAAGGACCGCTGGGGACATCACGGCTGCAAGCCCTGCCTGTCCTGCGCCCTCATCAACCGCCTGCAGAAGTCCAACTGCACCGCCACGGCTGACGCCGTCTGCGGGGAGTGCCTGCCGGGGTGAGCGGGAGCACGGCCACCACAGCCACACCTGGGGGCAGGCAGGGAGGGGCTGGGCACAGGGGCCTTCACCTGAGGCCACCCATGGTCCCACATGGGACCTAAGAGGAGCCTGGTGGCCCAGGGATGTCTCTGCGAGGACACTGCTAATGACATAGAAGTCAGACCCATCTGGTGGGTCCTGTTGCAGCTCCAGAGGAGGAAAAGTGAAGGCTCACGTAAACGAGCTGTGAAAGAAAACTTCCAGACTCGCTGTTCTGTAGACACCAGGGTGGCTGAGCCCTGGAAGATGAAGTGTTGTAGACCACTATGGTTAGTAGTCCCCAAAGAGGGGTTTAAGGGTTTACTGAAATGAAATGGCTGCATACAGACAGCCCGTGCCAAGCCCAGGTGCTGCAGACACCACTAGCCAGCAATGGGCTCCAGTGTATGAGTCTCTTCTCAGACTGAGCTGTAGCTGGGGTGTTCCCAGCCCTGTAGGGAGCTATTAACCATTAAAATTCACTTCAGCAGATGTGGGGGCGGAGGGGAGGGGAGGGGGGGCTGTTGGAGAGATGTTGCTTCTTAACAAACGTCTAGACATGAACAAGTAGGTGTGGTGTGGCTCCAGCCTGTTGCTCCTGTTGCCAGCCAGGCAGGAGTGCAGGGTCAGCTGTGCCCCTCTGCTGCGGGGTAGGTGGTACAGCTGGCTGTGTAGCTATGGTGCTGGGAGCTGGTGGGGCCAGGCAGTGCTGAGCCTGTGTGCTCTGCAGGCAGTGCTGAGCCTGTGTGCTCTGCTGGCAGTGCTGAGCCCGTGTGCTCTGTTGGCAGTGCTGAACCTGCCTGCTCTGCTGGCAGTGCTGAGCCTGTGTGCTCTGCCGGCAGTGCTGAGCCTGTGTGCTCTGTTAGCAGTGCTGAGCCTGTGTGCACTGCTGGCAGTGCTGATCCTGTGTGCTCTGTTCACAGGTTTTACCGGAAGGCGCGGCTCAGCGGGCAGCTGGAATGGGAGTGCATCCCCTGCACCAAGCAGACACCATCCTCCGAGCCACAGTGTAGGTGTCCCCACGCTGCTGGGGTGCTGCTGGGGTTGGGAGAGGTGACGTGGGCACAGGGGAGCCACAGCCCTGCTGGAGGAGGCACGGTCATGGCATGTGAGGAGGGATGGGCAGGGAAGGGGTGGTCCAAGCCTTGGAGATTGGCTCCAGCGCTTTGTGGATGATGTTTGCAGGTCGGTCCAGAACAAACCTGGTGAGGGTCGCTGTCCCTACTGTACCACCACAGGACACAGCCCTCCTTGCACTGACCAGCAGTGCCCTGGTCATCATCGTCCTGGTGCTTCTGGCACTTTCCATCATCTACTGCAAGCGATTCTGGAAAAGCCAGTGCCAGAGAGGTGAGTTGGTGCTCTCCGCCCTGCTGTGCCATTCACCTGTGCCTGTGGGCTATTCTTGCTGTATAGAGCACTGCTGAATTCACAGCACAGTGACCCAGCTGTTCCTCAGCTCAGAATAGACACCTCATCCTGCTTCTCATGCCTGCAGGACCTCTCATGTGCTTTACCTGCTCAGTGACACGGAGGAGCCTTCCTCCTCCTTAGGGCCATGAGGAGGAGGAGGAGGAGGAAGTCATTTCACAGTCAGAACTGGCAATCCTCCCTTCTGAGGTTTTTCTGGTTGAGTGGCTCTTTGCTGCAGAATGAAGAGGGCTGTAGGAGTGGTGGCCAGGGTTGGGGCAGGACGGCATCCAGCAGCATGCCAGGGAGCTGCTGGGCTCCCAGCTCCTCGCTGGCAGACATACCACAGGGCTGAGGACATGCTAGGGAACTGAGCCAAACCTTTGCTCAGGCTGCTCCTTCTCTATCCTCCAAGTCTTCCTGAGGACTCAGAACTTCTCGGGCCAGCGAGCAACGTTCCCAACTGCAGCAGCACCTGGCAGGTTCCTGTGTGAGGAGCAGATGTCTGGACCCTGCTGCCTGGGTGTGAAGAATTTGAGCCCTTGCTACAGGCAGGCGGAAGGTACCTGCTCTTGCTGCCTTCCCTGGGGAAGGGAGGGTGGTGCTGGGCTCCAGCTCACATGGTGCCAGGATGAGAGACTGAAGGATGGAGCTGGAGGGTGAGCTTCACTGATGCGTGCTGGTTTCTGGTTCTAGGCCCCGTGGAAGCGGTGCAGTTCATTTCCGACGGGGAAGCCGTGGGTCTCCAGCTCCCCTCTCTCCAGCCAGAGATGGACTTGCCACCAGCCATGGCAGCCAGCACTGCCTCCAAGGCCCAGCTGGGCAGGAGCCTCCTGGAAAGCCAGCCCCTCATCCGGGCCTCGGGCCATGGCGACTGCCTGGACGGGGTCCTGCCGCCCCCCACACCCAGGCAGGGCCGGCCGGGCACGGTGGAGGCCCTGGCCCCCCTCTCCTCCTGTGCCTCCGAGATGCAGCACAAGTGGCCACATGCACCCGTGGAGTGCACTGAGCTGGACCTCCAAAAGTTCTCCACCCAGGCGGAATTTGTGGGTGGTGAGCGGCTGGAGGACGCAGCAAGCCGGGCTGTGAAGAGGATTCCAGCAGAGAGCGGTGGTGGGGTGCAGGAGGGGGCTCATCACTTGCCCATGGCTGAAATCCCACCGGGGGAGCAGCCGGTAAGTTCCTCCTGCCTCATCATTCCTCAGAACTATTGCCAGTTGCCCAAGGGTCAGGCGCAGAGGCTGGGCTTGGCATAGGGGTAGGAACATGGCCTGAGCTATGTTAATATGGGGTGGTAAGGCTCGGGGGGAAGCGCCATTCCCTGAGCCCCTGTGAAGGCCCTGGGAGCAGAGCCAGGCATTGCTGTTCTCAGCAGACTGCCACCAACCCTGGGGTCTTTGTCTCACCAGGTGGATGATGCCCAGAGCCTGGTGACTCAGATCAGCAGCACGGCCAGTGGTAAGTGGCCTTCCAGTCTCACCTTTGGACTCCAAGTACAGGCATATCAGAGGCAGGTTCTTGGAAGGGAGCTCCTCCAGAAGCCCATCATGTCCCCAGCAGGGACTTACCTGACTTGTGGCTTTTGGTGCTGGTCCACAGGGTATGTTTTCTGTGATGCTGCCTTGAGTAGCCTGTGGGCAGGTCACCAGTTACCAGCTTCCCCGGGACTGAGTCAGCTCCATGTTGCTGAGCTCTAAAAGTGATGTTGGAGGAGATATCTTCCCTGGCAGGGTGGCCTTTCACCTGTTCAGCAGGGCCTGAGGCTGGAGGCTGGCTGTTCTCTTTGCCCTTTTCCTGTTTGGCTAGGATGGACACTAACCCAGCTCCGCTGTGTTGCTGCCCCCAGGTCTCCCGCTAGCAGAGCTGCCCCATTCCTTGGTGCAGTCTCTTGCCTTCTTGTTGGACCCTTCCTTGAACGGTGTGAAGAACTTCAGCCACGTGGCCCTGGAGCTGGGGCTCATGCCCCAGTTGCTGGGGCGGATTTCGGGGTTTGAGCAGCTGGTGGCACACTTCACCTACGCGGGAGCCGCGGTCACCGTCCCGCTGCTGGCGCAGGCGCTGCAGCGGCTCCAGCGCTTCGACGCCTTGCTCCTGCTCTGCGACCACTTCACGCTCAGCCCCGCGCCGGACCGCCAGCGCTAGGGCACACCGAGGGAGGCAGGAAGCTCCATGCACTGTTGCTCCTGTGAGAGAACACCCAGTGGCCTGCAGTCACACGACCTCCCTGGTGTGCGTGGCAGGAGCACACAGAGGTGGTCTGTGCATCATGGAATGGACATGACAGGGGTGTCTCTGCACAGGGGTTCAGGAAGCACAGCTGTGCTTTTCCCTGCTCCATGGGGGAGGGCTTGCTCAGGCCCCTCCAGAGGCTGGTTTTCTCTAGCTGTGACACCCTTCTCTGTCAGTTGCTGTGCTGTGGTGCCCTGGCTCTGCAGTGAGCCCTGTCCTGCCCCACTGTTGCCATGGGGCTCAGTGTCCATGGGCAGTGCCCTCCTATGAGCCCAACCATCTCCTCCCTTCCATTCCAGCTTTCCCATCCTTCCTCTGGCCCGTGCTCTGCTTTCCTGGGTGCCAGTTGCCACTTTCTCAGTTTACTTTTCAGTTGCTTCTCTCCCTCTGTGCTGCGATTTCCTTGGCCGAGGACCTGGCCATGGCCGATGTGCCGGGCTCCAGCCTTTGTACCTCTGTGCCACCCTGGCACCATCCTCTCGTGCCCATTTGTGGTGCAGTGTCGCATCCTGGCATGAGTTTCAGACTGACTCCCAGGATGAGCTGACTTTAGCCCTCACTGGGCTGTGGCTGTTGGCCACGGGCAGGTGCTGGCTCACCCCAGCCCGTGGCTGTTCACTGCCCATCGCCTCCGAGGCTTTGCAAACTGCCTGTGGTGGCACAGGGTGTCAGGGGCAGGGACACTGCACTGCGGGTGGCAGCTGAGGGCTGTGGCTGTGGTCACAGGCAGCAGTGACATTCCTGTGCCAGCCACAGCAGCAGCTCCTCCAGAAGCTCCTCCTCTTTTAAAATAATAGTTTTCTTTTTTTTTTCTCCCTGCCTAAAAATGGCCTGATTTCTCATTCCTGGGAGTTGCTACTGGGAAGGGGGACGCACCCTTCTGCTTGGTATTTCATCTTGGGGGATTTGTCATAACTTGCCATGGTTTTGATGTCGCCAGTCGCCCCAATTTCAGTGTTGTGCCTGAGCCTGGAGGCTGCAGGCAGCTGGTGTGTTCTCTGTGCCCTGGCCTCTGGGGCTCTGCTGGTGGCCTTGGACAGGAGTGGGGCTGCAGGACCACGTTCCTGAGCGGGGCACAGCGGCACGGGGGCGGGCAGGCACTCGGGGTCAGGGGCTGCAGCTTCGATCCCTCTACACGGGCCATTCACTGAAGAGTTAGACCCCGTTAGATCCTTGTGGTCTCTTCCAACTCAGGATTCTGTGATGTGGTGTCACCCTGGCTGTCCCGAGACTCGCAGACAGCATCACTGGGGCCGAGCTGGTGGCACTTGCTTTGTCCCTCGCTGCCTGCCGATGCTCTCTGCTGTCCTGCCTGTCGCCGGGGTCTCAGCCCAAGCCGGTGGTGTGGTGGTCACCAGCAAGTGGCACTGTTACCCTGCTGCCTGCTGGCCCCACCCAGGCCCCTCGGCTGAGCCCAAAGAATTCTTTATCTGACCACAGGACCTCAAAGAAGCAGATACCCTTCTAGGAAGGCAGACTTCCCCCACACCTCGGGGAGTAATAGCTGCTGGTGTTTCCTTTCCTTGTTTAAAGATGTTGGGGCTTGAACACACCCAGGATGTGCTCAGATAAGCAAAGGCATGGGCAGTTTGAGCTGGACCTGGTACTTTCCCTCACTGCTTGTTTCTTCCACAGTCAAGGTCGTTTTATTGCTCTTTGCTCTCCAAGACCTACAGCGTTGAACTTTGAGCCATCATGGGGCCAGGATTAGTCAGACTCTTGCTGCACTCTTGGCCTGTTAGGGAGTGTTGCTATAGCACACACAGCCTGGGGCCAGGGATTTCCTGTTTGAGGCTTTTCTGTGGCAGGGAGAGTGCTGGGTTTAATCACCTCACAAAATCCAATAAATATTTAATCCCTCTGTGGACATAGTCACTTCCAGTGGGAAGGAAAATAACTTCACCCACTGCCTCTGAGTAAGAGCCTCCCTACAGCTTAGCTTGCTGTCCCCGGCTTTGAAGTTGGAGCTGGACTGGGCAGCTTGCCCTGTGTGTTCCTGTGTCACCAGTGCCACCAGCGTGTGGTCACTTGGAGTGCACAGAGCAGTGGCAGGATGGCAGAGCCAGCCCACCCCTGTCACATGGCAGTGCCAGGAGCAAGAGATGGGCAGGAAGGGCTGTTAAATTGGAGCTGTGGATGATGGGGACAGGGCACAGGCGAGTGCTGCAAATTTCTTCACATGCTGGGCCAGTCCATAGGTGTGCCGGGGGAGCTCTGGGCCAGGCAAATGAAGTGAGGCTTTAGTTCATTTGTTTGGGGTTTTTTATCACCTTTATAAAGAAATCAACCTCATTTTCTTGATAGCTTTTAAGATAAACTTATTTTTCAATTGTTTGATGTCTGAGCAATATTACTTATGGTCAAAACTCACCCCGTGCCATGAGGGTGCAGCGCATCGGGGGTGTGGGTACGGGCCATGCCATACAGGGTCTGTAGGGTGGTGTGTGCCATGCCACAGCTCCTGCCCCTCTGGTGCTGCCCCTCAGGCCCAGGCTGTGCTGCCCAGCACTGGCTGGCAGGAATGTTTTATGTGTTTGGCCTGTTCTGGGTTTCCCCTCAGAGCTCCACACGTGGTGCAGGTCACACTGGCTGGTGCTCCAGCAGGGCTGGGCGCTGCACAGGAGCATTGCAGGACGTGGCTCTTCAGCAGTGAGGCTCCCCCAGCTCCCCACTCGCTGTGCTCATGGCAGGCACCTTCCTTCAGCTGTGGTGACAAAACCAGCTGTGTTTACAAGGGCCAAAAGTTCAACAGGTAGCCTTTAGCCCACCCTAAGACCCCTTGGCCAGGCTGCCTCGAGCCCAGCCAGAGCCCTCAGGGAACCATGAGAGCCTCAAAAACAGGGATAATGCTGTGACTCAGACATCAGAACAACAGTGATCCCTGAGCAGGGAACTGCTTCACTGGGGAACCAATGGACTTGATACTTGACTTTTGCTTTTTAATAGTATTTTCAACATAGTACGTAGAATGTAAGGTAGGGAAATTCCTGTAGTGCTGGATCTCATGTCACAGCCTCAGGAAGCCATTTATGCCAAGCTGGCATGGCTCACAGAGAGGTGAAAGAAATGAAATAACTCTGAAATCTGTGCAAACTTGAGCTAGGACTGAACAGTGGAAATACTCCAGTGCAATGGGGTTTTTTTTAAACAAGTGATTGGTTTCCACACCAGTCTTGCCTGGAAGTCTGATTTGCAGAGGAATTTGTATGATAAGTTTAAATCCAGCCCTGTTCTGGGAAGCTCTTAAGCATAGACTTAAAATAGGCACATACTTCACTGTTGTTAAAGTGTTTATTCTGGTGAACAATTGGTGAACATCCCTCGGGTGTTGTTCCTGAACAGGGGCCTTGTGAGAGCTGTCCCTCCAATGTGCTTTTACAGAAATAGGCAATACTGAAGAAAACTTAGTGTTACTGATCTGGTCACACTTCTTGGAGGAGTCTGCAAGTGTTGGGGGAAGGTACCCCGTCTGTGTTGGATTATTTAATACTTCAGACTCTGGTGCTTTTTAAAAAAAATAATCACTACATTTCTGTAGCCATGGTTTACCCAAGGGACTACCTGTTGTATTTTATGGTAGATGTTATTTTTCTTTAAGGTTACGAATAGGTTATTTATATTTTTGTAAATTCTGTGCCATTATCGTTGTAATTCTGCTGTAGCATTGTTTCTATTGGGTTTGGGGTGTTGTCTGTGTTCAAATCAAGCAGAAGCTGAAGCTCCTGCCCCCTGTTAATGGAAGGGGGTTGGTCCCTCACATTCCTCCAGACCTGGTGCTCTTGAGTGATGTGTGTTTGTAGTTCAATAAATTTTGGAGCCAGACACGGTGACGTTTGGTGAGTTTTGATTCCCCTCGGCATTGCTGCGGGCCCCCTGCCCACCTGCCTGTGGGGGTTGATGCTGCAGGGGCCGGGGGGCTGGAAGGTCCCGTGTGGCAGGGCAGGCAGCGCTGTCAGAGGGATGCTGCAGCAGCCCAGGGCCTCAGCCTCATCCCAGTGTGGGAACGGGCAGGAGGGGCTGGAGCTGGTGGTGCTGGGTGGGGTGGCCGAGCTCCAGGGCCTGTCCTCTCAGGGCCTGCCCCCACCACAGGCATCAGCTTTAGGTTTTACATGGGTTTAACATTCTCCCGAGTGGCCAAGTCTCAGGTGTGGTTCACTGCATGGCCAGTGGGACACAGGGGGAGGCAGAGATCCCTCAACAATGCCCAAGGGTCTCCCATTCCCAAAGCTTTGCTGAGGAACAGCTGCCGTTTAAGCTCAGTAATTACAGGCTTGTGTAAGCCTATTCATGCCCTTATACTGGTATGTTTAAAATAATTATTAGCATGAATGGTGTTTTCTGTTCTAATTAAAGCTATGATACTTGTCCAAACTCTGGCAGGCTCTACGAGTGTTTGCAGTGCTGCATCCTGCCTGAGGATCCCCATGCAGTGCGGTGTCTGCAGCCCTGGCTGCCTCTGTCACACCACAGGGCAGCAGCTGTGGACAGCACAGCCTCTGGGGCCAGAAAAGCCACTCATCCACCACCAAACCCAAAGCCGTGGCAGTGGTGGAGGTACTCAGCACCCACAATTTCCAAAGAAGCCTTTTCTATGGAGCGTGTGGGTGCCTGGAGCCTGTTGTCACAGGTGCAGCCCAGGTGTTCCCAGAGTCTGCGAGGGGTGATGATCCCAGTGTCCCTGCCTGCACCAGCCCAAGGCAGGGTGCTGTGGCACTCCCGTGGGTGACCTGAGCCCAAAGCTCTGCCTGTGCCTGTCACTGGTACTGCAGAAGGAGAGGGCCAGAAGTGTCTGTTGGGAGAGCAGCTTCCTGCAAGCTTGTGGGATGGGAATTCAACATATGCCATGCCTTACCTTTGAGTGATTCCTGCCCTGGGGTTGTAACCATCCAGACTCTGCATTCTCAGCTGACTGGACATGCTGCAGTAGGCAAAAGGGAGGTGGGTTTGGTCGCACCTCGGGTCTGCTCTGGAAGAACAGGGGTGCCCTTCCCATGCAAAGCAGATGCTCCCACCCAAAGCAGGAACTCCCAGTGATCAAGAGATTCACGCCCCCTCTTCTCCTCACCTCAGACCGCTTGTGTTGTCTGGTCTTGCCTTGTTTTTGGCTGAAGCCCAAGGAGCAATGAAAAATCAATCTTGTTCCCCTCAAAGTACTTGGGATTCTCGTACTTCATGCTGGGATAAGAGGCAGCTCCCGTGAAGCAGAGCTGGCAGAGAAGCACACGTGCTCCATGTGAGGAGGCAAGTGTGTGGTTGAGGTGTGACTCCTTGGTGGTCAGAACAAGTCTGGCTCCCACCTCTGGTCCTGGTGCCGCCTCAGCCACTTCACAGAGAGGCTGGCAGCAGGTCAGGGTGCTGAGCTGCCTGTCCTTACCTCAGCTGCCTCCAGCAGGAGCATCTCCAGCTGGGATGCAGAGCTGTGCAAAGGCACTCGCAGCTTGGCGAGCCTCCAGCTGCAGAGGGAGTGCCAGGGAATGCTGCTTGGCACACACCAGGCACACGCACTGGGCCTTCTCCTGAGCTGGCTTTGGAGCAGGAGCTCCCAGCAGTCACACCACAGCCAGCAGTCCTGCTGAGACACGTGCTCTGACCTATGGTGCAGGGATACTGAGCTCCAGGATGGCTTGGATTAATTGAGACGAGAGATCTCTGAAGGCTGCTCTTAGAATATAAGGTTTATTATAGAGGGTGAAAGGTCTTGCTTGGAGCTGCCAGATGCAGCAAGGCCTGAGGGAATGGGAGAGGGGAGAGACAAGAGGGAGACAAGAGGATGCTCCAGGAGAGGGTGGAAGTTCCAAGAGAGAGTCTGGCTCCTCAGAGACCCCTTATCAGGGGGTTTCAAGGTGGGCTGGAATAAGACTTGGGCCAATAGGGTCACAGACACCTGATGCTTCAGGGGAGGGTTACAGGTGTGGGATGAGCCGTACATTTTGGGGGTTGAGATAGAACAGTCCATTTGACTTTTGGACCTATCTGTAGGTAAGGGCGTTGTCCAACCAGTAGGGGGGATTGTTTTCACCTTGGCTGTACTATTGTAAATCTTTTGCCAGGCAGTTATATTTATCCATCCTCCCCAACACTATGGGGTTTTGCTCTGAATAACCCCAGTGAAATGTGTGGGGTTTGGATACCTCACCTGCATGCCCTGAAATGCACCTGCAGAGCTGGGCACTGTGGCCCTGTCCTTGTGTGGGCAGGGGCCTCTGAGCAGAGTTTATCTCAGACCTGCTGAGGTGAGACTGCAGTCACGGGAGGTCTTTGCCTCCTTCTCACAGGAGACCCCACTCTGTCCCCGCTCATGCCCTCCCCATCAGCACTGAGAGGCAAAGGGCGGCTGCTGGGGGGGGCTGGCCGGGGTGAGGAGGTGTTCCCACTGATGAAGTATTCCAGGTGGGATCCTGCTTGGAGCCACATTCATTAAGGAGCCCTGTGTTAACAAGGACTGCATGGCCTGTGGCAGTGGAGTCAGAGGAGCTGTCTAACATCTCCCTCATGTGCAGGTTCTCGAGGCACAGAACAAGAGCTTTCACAGTTGCACTTTTTACTAAATCCCTGCGTTGGCTTTGGGCTGAGATGACCTGGACTAAGAACTATGTTTTGTTAAAACACTGATTGAAATTCTGTAGTTGCAGGGAGGGGATGGCTGCCCTTTTCTGTGCAGGAGAGGGTAAGCACACAGTCCTCAGGGGAGTCTGAGCTGCAACATTTAGTGAGAAAAGGGCAGGAATGAGGCTGACAGCTCTGGAGTGCCTTGGTAAACAGCTTCCCAGCTTTCAGCCTTCATTTCCTTGCCTAACCCCAACCAGGAGGCTCACCAGTAAAGAAACCTTAAACACCCGCCCTCCATGTGCCCCTGGCCCCTTCACAGGGGCCGGGGGGACAGGCAGATAAATTTCCATTGCTAAAATTGAAGACTGAAATCTGTTAGAGAGACATGAATTTCCATACCCGAGTTCCTTTCCTTCTCCACTTTCTTTCCCCACAGGTGGTGTTTTTACTGTTTCTTCTCTGATTTTCTCATTCTGTATTTCCCCCAGGCTTCCCCTGCACACTCAGTTCTTACCTCACCGTGTCTCTGCAGGACATGAGGGCAATTACAAGCAAAGGAAAACACACAATTCACAGCACGTTATTGAATTGGATATGTTTGCCAGGAGGCAGAAATCTATTGTTCTTCTGTCTTTCACACTCACCTTCCCAACCTGTCAGTTCACTCACAGGGACTTCCAAAAAGCAGCTGAAAAGCTCCACAGTGCATGTTTGGGGCACAGGATGCCTGTCCAGGGAGTGCCACCATCACCCACAGCCTCGGTGGGCAAAAAGAGCCACCAAACTCTGAAGAACTGGGCAGAATGCTTGGGGGAACATTAATGAGAGCAAACCGTCTCATCTAGGACCAAACTGTGAGCAATATCCACCACCACAAAAAAAAAAAAAAAAAAAATCCTTTTTCTTTTTATTGGCAGCAGATGTTCATTTTTAAGGGGAAACAAATCCAGCTCCCATGCCAGAGCTGTGCTGGAGGCAAAAAAACAGTCTCCAGGGGCAACCTGATGCCAATAATTATTATTATCCTTCAAAAATACATTATTATCGCAAATGAAATTGCCATACTCCTGCCCTGAGCCTGGTGGTAAATGAGGTTTTTGAGCCTGGCCAGGCTATTTCTCTGTGACAATTCATGGGAGCTCATAACCTGGGTACTAGGCTGGTTTGCCTTCCAATGCAGCAGCATTAGAGATGGAATTTTAGCAAAAGAATAGTGTTTTTACAACCCCTTAAATGCCTCCTCACACTCCCCCTCATTCTCCTCTGAGCTGGCCTGAAGGAATTACAGGATTACAAATAAATACCCCAATCAAGTACAATAACAACAGAGCCAATGTTCATCATTTCTTACCTCCTGCAGTTCATATTCACATGTTGGATCGAGGAGCACGCAATGCCCCAGGTCTGTGCCTTGGCCAGCTCCAAAGTCAGCCAGACACGAGCCCTGGCTGGGTCCCATCCTGCCCCATCCCCAGGACATCTCCAGCGAGAGCAGGTGGGCTGTGAGCTGCTCCATGGTCTTATCCTGGTCCTGTCCAGAGGGTCTTCCCAAAAATGTGCCCCATACCCTCTGCCCTGGGCACCAAGAGGGTTGTGCTCCTGCCCTGTGCCACCTGTGCCATGGAAAGGCATTAGAAATGGCAGCTTGGCATGAAGAGTCTGTGTGTGGACACAAGCACATCTATACAGACAGAAATTAAATGGGGAAAAGGCTCCTGTCCCCACTTTGTACAAGGAGGGGGAGCAGAGAACGTGCTAGCAATGCTCAACACTGCAGATAAGAAAATAGCACACTTGTCCTACCTTCCCCCTCAATCCCTCCTTCCTTCACAGTGAGCAGGAGAAACAAAGGAAAAACAAACAATTTGACAACTTGGCTTCACAAAGAAGCTGAGAATTAGTCAAGTGGTGAAGATATTCCCATTTATAGCTGAAATGCCTGAATATATTGCTAAATATTCATGGTCTTTATTAGCTCTGTTAATCATAACAGTTTGTCTGGAGAATGAATATTCTTACATCCTGCCCTGCAAGCTGTGCAAGACAGCAAAATACTTATATTCTCCTGAATGAAAGGCAAAGTAAGGCAAGTTAGTGCAATTCTGTTAACAGGGTGTGTCAAATTTAATAATGGGGGATAAATTCATACCCTGCCCTAGAAACATGAACATAAAGAGGAAAGGGACACTGCATTAAAGACTTTATTTGGAGAGCAGCCATTGCCATCTCCATGAGGGAACAGTCGGCATCAGTCACTGTTCCTCAGCATGAGCAAGTGGTGGGTTTAATTCCAGAACAGGGTGGGAAATGGAGACAGTTAAATAACTGAACTCTGAAGAGGAGTTCAGGAATGACAATGCACTGTGAAAGAAAAACTGTAATGGTAAAAACTAGAACTCAATTCCTTTCCAGCCTTTAGGAGAGACTTGGTTTATTAACCTGAATGTGAAAGGTCCGAGCAGTGTATCACAGTTTGGAAGCAAATTAAACTGTTCAAAACAGCCCAGAGCCACCTAGCCTACTGCAACTCCCCACTGATGGAACTGTGGTAAATCCATCATGGATGTGATCCAGGCACTCCTTCTGTTCTGAATCCTGCCATGTTTGGCATGTATCACCAGCAAAAGGTCAAAATAAGCTGTGGAAGGAGAAGGAAGCTGCAAAATGTTAAGGCCATTGATTAATTGATTGCTTAATTCCCATGGAAAACTGCCTGAGGCAGGATGTGACTGCAAAAAAACATTGTCTGTCTCAGAAATAGGAACAAAATCTGCTGCTCTGAAACTTACTGCCACCATTTTTGTTAGGTATCATAAATTATCTCCTAACAGTGCACACAGTCTGGGCACCCATAATCACACCGATGGTGGTGATCAGCTTGGCTCCAAGTGTGGGTTTGAAATGGAAATTACTTCTGCAGTGCTGTAGGAACAGCAATAAATGGCCAAAATGAGGCTTTGAAAAATCCCTGTTGTTGCTGTCAGCTACACCAACTGCAGGTCCCTGCAGAGTGGAAATCCTGGAGACAGGAGACCACCAAAGTCCCACAGCCTGCAGGACACAGCATGGATGGGATGCAGATGTGTGCAATGAAAGCATGTGGGAATGATATAGAGGATATAAACCTTTATGCTCTGAAGTCCCATTAATTGTGAAGTAATAAGAAGGAATTCCATTAATGGGGACACTCCTTGTACTTGCCCCTTACAGTGTCCCATAAAGCAATTGGGTTTGTCTCCAGCAGATGCATTAGATGGTCCAATCATCTGATTTTATAAAGCAATTAGATGTTCTCATCTGCCAAGGAGACTTTTATGGGCCTGTCATGGAGAAGTCTCTTCAAGAGACAGACTATTGTGTTGTACAACCAGACCTGGTTCCTGCAGAGCCCAGCCTGGGGCTTTTGGTGGGGGTTTATTACTATTTTTGCCCTTTCATGTCTGGTTAAGTGACAGCTGCTCTCCACTTCTACAGTCTGGCACTACTGAACTGAGCAGCATCACAGTGTGGGCTGTTGGGGGAATGAAACATCCATCAAGGACCAAGTGCATTAATTCAGCCTTATTACCAGGGCAAATAACAAAACACCAGCGATGGGGAGCAGGGCAGGAGGTGCTTTTGATCTGCTGCCTGTGGATGCTCCATGCGACCTCCCGAGGGAGGCCTGGCTCCAGCACAGCCCCAGGCACAGCACCCACACCCCTGCCTGGTCCCAGCACAGCCCCAGGCACAGCACCCACACCCCTGCCTGCTCTGCCTGGTCCCAGCACAGCCCCAGCACAGCACCCACACCTCTGCCTGCTCTGCCTGGTCCCAGCACAGCCCCAGGCACAGCACCCACACCTCTGCCTGCTCTGCCTGGTCCCAGCACAGCCCCAGGCACAGCACCCACACCTCTGCCTGGTCCCAGCACAGCCCCAGGCACAGCACCCACACCCTTGCCTGCTCTGGCTGCTCCCTCCCGGCTCTCCCAGCACAGCTCAGAGCAGCCTTTGGTCCCTGCTGCTGTCCCCTGCCCCGTCCTGTCAGGGACCCCAAAAGAACATTAGTCCTGCTGCAATGCAGAAACCTGAGCACATCTGAGCAAGGAGACGCCTCCAGCCCACCTGCTCGGCTCAGACTGGGAAGAGCCAAGCACGGGGAGTGCTCTGGCATCACCTCAGAGGAGCAGTTTGGGAACAGACCCTGGAAGTGGGGTGGGGATCTCTGCTGAGCACTGGTGGGATAGGGCAGCCCGTGAAACGCCATTAGTCTTCAAAAGAAGTGCTGACTGCAGCCCGTGCCTGCTGCTAAACCTGTCCTCACTTGCCGCTATTCCTGCCTGGGCTCCATCCAAAGCCTGGGAGATCAGACGCGTTCCTTTCTTTGCCCACCGCAGTGCAGGAGTGGTGGTGGGAGGAGGCAGCGGGGAGAGCAGGCGGGGTCTGTGGGGACAGGTGAGTTCTTTGGAGGGCAGGCGGGGTCTGTGGGGACAGGTGAGTCCTTTGGGGGGCAGGCGGGGTCTGTGGGGACAGGTGAGTTCTTTGGAGGGCAGGCGGGGTCTGTGGGGACAGGTGAGTCCTTTGGGGGGACAGGCGGGGTCTGTGGGGACAGGTGAGTTCTTTGGGGGGCAGGGGGTGTCTGTAGGGACAGGTGAGTCCTTTGGGGGGGCAGACAGGTTGTCTCCACAGTCAGTGACACAGCAGAGCCGTGTGCCCCAGCTCCAGGGAGAGACTTTGCTGCTGCCTGGGGCATAAGGGCGGTTGCACATCATCTCCCACGCGGGAATTCGGGGTGTGCCTTTCACGTCCAGTCTCCCAGGTAAGGGCCAGGCTCCTTCCTCCCCTGGTCTGTGATTGACCTAAGATGCCAACTTACTTCTCAGTGCAGATGATGGTTTGACACTGGCCTACCTACACCCCCTGTCCAGGGCTTAAACTGGATTTAACCGAGGACATTCCCCCTTATCCCAGCATCGTGCTTTGGCCAGCCCCTCCGTACTGTTTTCCACTTGAAGAGCTAAGTGATGATAATTGTATTCTGTTTCTCCTTCCTGAGCTAATTTTCTGACTCATTGTGGGGGTTTTTTCTGCTAGCTTTTTGTTAATCTAGTTGGCATGTTGTGGTTTCTTTGTTCATTGTGTGGTGGGGCTATATAAGAGGATTTGTCTCTGGAATTCAGGTATCCCCTGCACTGCGTTCCCTGTTATCGTCTTCATCAGCAACTCTGCTGAAGGCACTCTGCTGCACTTGGCATGAGCTAACCTTAATAAATCGGGCTGTTAATCACTCAGACATGTCTCGCTGGATCTTTGCACGCTGATTTGTGTGAGCTCAAATAGTTTCCCGGGAGCAGACTTGTGGTGACTCAGTGTTTCAATAATTCGCCCTCCAAGCTCTCCCTGCCGGGGGGCTTTGCCTGCCGCCGCGGGCACCGGGGGAGCGCTCGGTGACTGCAGGACAGGAGCAGGGAGGGGTCTCCTCATGGCAGAACTTCCCGGCATCTTCTCCTGCCACCCCACGCTCCTGTCGGGTCCCCAGGGAGCAGCCTGCGCTGCTGCCGCCGCTCCGGCCCTGGGGACTCTCCATCGGATCCCGGCGCCGCTCCTCTCCACAGGTGTCCAGCGGGACTGGAGACACATTAAGGAATGTTTATAAGGAATGTTTAAGCATCTATTTACGTGTTGAGTTGATTCAGACCCAGCAGAAGCAGAATTTCACAGATTCCCTTTTGCAGAGCCTGGCTGGGAGCCCAGCAGAGATGCAGCCTCCTGCACCTCAGGCATTGTCCATGCCCTGGTCAAACGATGCTCAGGTTATACTTTTTTTAATACATATATTGTGCATTCTATGTTTGCCTGAGAGCTGCTGGGAGTTAGGGCATCCTCAAGCGATACAGGAGCCTCGAGGCTCTGAATCTCACTCAGGCATTGATAATTATCAGTCCAGATAGCTGAGCCGTTACGGAGATTCGATACAGTCAGCTCTTTCATCCTGCCCATTTAGGGGAGAAAAATTCAGCAACGAGGAGATGCTGCGATTGACAGATCCAAGGAAAACCAGCCAGGTTATTTCTGACAGCAAGAGATAGCTAACTACAGGGATTAGCAGAAGATCAGGGGAGTGTGGAGAGACCCCTTCTTTGGAGTAAGAGCTTGGACTCCTCCAGAAAAAGGTTATTCAGCCATTTAAAAAAAGAAAGGAAGGAAAACAAACCTAATAAATATCAAAGACAATACATGGCAGTTTGAGAGCTGCTGACCAAAAGCTAATGAGGAACGAGGAACAGTAAAAAAACAAATGATAGCTTATTTTACTATTTAAACGAGGTGATGCTTATTAATTATAGATTATTTTAACATTTTGAGAAACTCACAGTGATGTTTTTTCACTGAAAACAAACTCTTCTGTACACTGAGGGAGGACAGTACTGGCAACCAGAACAGAGAGCTTTGAATTCCCATGTTCAATAACCATGAGCTCCAAGCAAAGTGCCTCAGGGACGAAGTATTCACCCATTCCTGCTGCCACTCCTTGTGTTCTGCTGTTTTCTTCTGGTGCAGGCACTTCAGTGCACACCCAAGGTGCCCAGCTGGGGTCAAGTGGCCTGAAGCAAGGACCCTTCCTCCTTTCTGTCCTTTTCATTCCCACTGCACAAATAGAAAACAAAACAAAACAAAAAAGAAAAAAAAAAAAACCCAAACAAAAACATAAAAATCAGTCCTTAGTTTCCCTTCTTCTGATTCTCCCCTGGGAAGGTGGTGGGAATACGTCCTTATTCCCTCAAGCCACCCAGTCCCCCCGCTGCCTCTCCAGGCAGAAGATCTGTCTGGGCTATGACCAGGGCAGACCAGGAGCCCCCTTGGGCTGCTGAAATCCATCACCTGGTTTGCACCAACTAGACAGCCCCAGATTCCTTGGTTGTTCCTCACTGGACATTCCTTCCAGCCCTTTTCTGCCCTCCTGTTGTTTAAGTGAGACTTTTACAGCAACTAGTAACAATGCAGAATGATTCCACCCTTCAGTGAGTGAATGCTACATCCCTGATGAAATATTTTGTGGCCTTTTATAAAGTGCCAGTGTAGCTCTCTTTACTGAATTAATATATTTATAATAAAAAGAACTTCTCAGTGGACTACATTAATCTGTCATTGCACCATCTGAGCCTACAGCCATGGCTCCTGGGGTGCATCCCTGCTCCCCTTGTCTGGGGCTGGCTTCCAGCTGCTGTGGGTGGGACAGAATCAGGGCAGGAGGAGCAGCCAAATCTGAGAGCAAAATCACCATCAACAATCCTTACCTCTGTTGGAGGCTTTGCTATACACTAGCTGGAGAGGCTCCCTGTGGATGGAGTTCATCTGCATGTCCAAGTCCCTCCTTCAAACACTTGTCATCACGGATTTGTTTCTGCCACTGTGCACAGCCCCACATTATGGCACGTGTTACAGGCCAGTGACAGAAACCTGGGTCTGCTCCCTCTGATAGCAATAAATGGGAAAACCTGAAAGCAGATCAGAATGTCTCAGAAGCTCCGTGTCCCCTGTACATACTCCTGTCCCCTGGGCCAGCTGCAGCGTGGGTTTGACTGGTAGAGTGCTGGAGAAGCTGTGTGCTCACTATGCCAAGCAGAGGAGGGGCTATAGTAAGACAAGCCAAAAATCAGCAGTAAAACAACAACGCAGCAGTGCTGGCTCCTGAGGACAGACTGGGAGGTGCCCTTTGATGCTTCCCACAGCCAGGTAGCTCCCCTTAGCCCCGTGGCTCACAGGTCCGTGTTGGCTGTCGGAAGGTTCCTGGTGGAGCAGCTGGCCTGGGAGGCAGGTCCCTTCCTGCAGCTGGCCTGCTCCAGCCACGCCTCGCGGCAGGACACGGCCCTGGGTGGCAGTGCCCGGTGCCCAGGCTGTGGCACCCTCTGGCAGATGCAGAGCAGGGAGCGGAGCCCCGCACGGAAACTCTCGTTCAGCCAGCAGTAGATGAAGGGGTTGTAGCAGGTGCTGCTCATGGCAAACCAGTGCAGGGCGAAATAGAGCGAGTTCTTTGTCTTGATGCCCAGACTGGAGATGAGCACCACGTAGCAGTTCAGGGGAAACCAGCAGACTGCAAAGACCACCACCACCAGCATCAGCATCTTGATGCTCTTCTTTTTGTTCCTGTGGTGGGTGACGGACTGCTGCGTGGTGACGTCCCCGATGGCGTTGCGGAGCCACAGCTTCTTGGCCAGACGCATGTAGGTGATGGTGATGATCAGCAGAGGCAGGAGGTAAAGAAGGAGAAAGGTAGACAGGTCCAGATACTTCCAGACCAGCTCTGCGGGCTCAGGGAAGTCAGGGAGGCACAGACTCCGGACAGTGGCTTCCCTTGAAAACAGGAAATACAGATATGTGGCCATTGCTGTCCCATGGGTGCTGCTGCCTCAGCAAACCACATGGGGGTCTCACACTGCCCACAGGCGCCTGCTCAGAGGTGTAGTGTGGACAGAGGAGGACACAGAGCCATGGCTCTGCCATGTCTCTCTCAGGCTGGACTGCAGCCCCAGCCCTCCATGGGAGCAACCACCCTGCTGTGTCCCCCAGCAGCCAGGACCCCTTGCCCTGCCATAGCCCCGAGCACAGGATCCCTCAGCCAGACCCACTGCAGCAGCTCTAAGCCAAAGTTGTTCTGGAGAGGAGGGTTGGAGGCTTTTAGAAAGCCTCACAGGCACGACCAACCCATCTCCCTTCCCTACCCACCATTCCCTTGCCATCAGCTCCTACAACTTTCCTGCTACCTCTTAAAACTGGTGTGATGATGATTCACTTGGCTCCAGTTGAACCACTGACAACTAACAAAAGAACTGAGTGTAACCATACGCAACAGCTCATTTTAACAACCCTTACACCTGTTCCATCCCATCCAGCCCCAGGATCCGGGTGTGTTCCCACTGCCTGGCCAGCAGTGGCTCTCATTCCCTCACCCTTCACTGCACTCATGTCCCCTCCACACCCTGCAGCTGGTGTAATGGAATTTATTTATGGTGGATGTTTTCTCCTTTTCTTTCATTTCCTCTCTCTTTTTCTTTCTCTTATTACTCTTATTTTACTATTCTCTCTTCATCCCTTGTCCTCAGTTCTTCTCTATTCAGCACAGATTTTAGCTCCCATCAAGCTGTACTATTCACTGCAGTATTGATTTGTATCTTTAATATCCTGTTTCCAACTGCTGGAGCTGCCTTTTGTGCCACAAATAGGAGATTGCTGAGAACAGGCAGCTGGGGCAGGGGATGAGGTCAGGAGTGGCAACAGGTCACCGAGGGCAGAGGACCCAGAGACGCCACTCGAGATGGGAACTGAGGCAGAAGGGAGAATCATCTTTTTTTTGAACTGCAGTCTTGACTTTGCTGGGGGACCTCACCACTGGCACAGGGGACCTGACAGGACAGTGTTTGGTGAATTCTGATATGAGCAGGGACTCAGATGGCTGCTGTGTAGTGCAGCCAGAGATAGATGTTGGTGGAGCCCTTGTTTCCCATCTCAGAACCCTAACCACTCCCTGCTAGCAATCTCAGGAGCCCTGACCCTGCAGGAGCTATTACAAGCAATATTACAACTGTGATTTTTTTTTCAATGGAAAGCAGGGACAGGAATAGCATGTCCTGGAAGTCCTTATATCGCTGAGCTGCCTCGTGCCAACACAGGGCTCGGTTTCCTCTGGCCATGCCAAAGGATGAGCAGAGACAGGTGCCCCGAAACAGATCGTAGGGTTCGTTCATTCATGAGCAATTTGTTCCCTAATCCCCAAGCACAGCTGCGGAGCGACGCAAGCACGGAGTAACCCTGTCCTGTGTTTACAGTCTGCAGTCAGAGGTATGATATCCCCTGGCTGTGGCAGGCACATCAGGCACAAGCACAGGCAGGGGAGGGCTGTGAAGCCCCCATCCCACTTCCAGCTCTTGCAGCCCCTTGGGCACCAAAACAGTGACAGACTCACGCTCTCCTGCCTCATCAACAGGAGGGGAAAAGGCCAGGCTGAAGGAAATTAGATTTGTCCTTTATACAGAAGGTCACTGTCTACAATAGAAATCTCATTCCTGCTGCCTGTCAGTGTCTCCTTGCCCCACTCCCTGGGATGCTGATCTCAGCCTGAAAATACAGGTCATGGTAAGATTATCCCCTTGGCCTCAAGGCTGGCATTCCTGCGAAGGGCAGCACCAGCAGCATGACACCTGCCACAAAAATCCCACTTGGGTACTGTTACAGACTGTTTTCTAGACAAGAGAGGTCACAGCAATGCCACAGGCTGGTGGGGACAGGAGGGACAGAACAGACTGGGTACCACAGAGAAAAGGACTGCAAGGTAAAAGAACACCAGAGTTTGGGTTTTGTATTTCTCCCTGGCAGAGGGTGACAGCAGAGACACGTGCTATTGCTGGGCCTTTTGTGAGGACATAAGTTTCTGCTTTTAATTATTTTTTCTTTCCCTCTGCATTAGAACCTTCTTTTTTTCCTGGTATTTCAGTCCTTATGCTGATGTGAAATTTCACTTCATCTGCTGTCACTATGTTCAGCCAAGCAAAGAGTTAGTTCCCTTTCCTGAGGAGAGGCACCATGCCACACCAGGACAGCTCCACTTCCTGCCAAAGCACTGCTCCCCCAGAGCCCTGCTTCAGGAAGAATGTGTGTTCTCTATGTTTTTTTTGTTAGTGTAACATTGGACAGAGGAACCTCAAGCTTCAGGGAAGGTTAGTCCTGCTTTGTAAATCTGGATGAAATACAGGGAAGCCAGAACCTGAGACTCAAAGTATGAAATCCTGGGGAAGAGAGACCAGTAGCCCTGGTGACAAACCAGGGTGGTCCCCTGCTCCCTGCAGAGCTTTGGTGATGTCAGCATAGGTATTCCCAACAGGAAATTTATTTTCTTTCTTTTTGAAACTGCAGTTCGACTCTCTCTCTCTCTCTCTCCTCCCTGCCTGGGCGAGTTGGATGGGCTTGGTCTTGCTGGGTCTGGGGACCTGAGCAGGTAAAAGGAGGGAAGAGGAAAGTCCCTCAGGAGAAAATCACCTTCTCAGGACAGAGCCTCTCCTGGCAAGGCTGTGGCACTGGAGGAGGCGTGTGCTGCCCACAGCTGTGCTCCAGCCAGGCTGTGCCTGGGACTGGGACCCAGAGCCTCGTCTGGGCACACAGGAGGTGGCAAGAGCAAACCCTGGACAGCAGGCCAGGCACAGCACAGCCCCAGCCTCTGCTGGGATGTCACCCATGCACCATCTCCCTCTCATCCCACATCACCCATCCCGTGCCTGGGACGCTCAGGTGCCCTCCCTCCTGAGCAAGTGGCGCTGCACAAGGGCTGCCAGAGCTCCACATGCTCACTGGGAAGGGGAGATCACTCACCTGTAGTTATACTGGAAAAGCTTTTGATAGACAGCATGGGGCAGGGAGAAACAGGTTGCCATCAGCCAGATAACAGAGATGCTCAGAGCTCCCTTTGTCAGGGACATTCTCTGCTTCAGCGGGTTCAGGATGACCTGCAATAGAGATTCCATCATGACTCTTCTCCCACAGGAAGGAAAAGCCCTCACAGCGCACAACAGCAGTGGGCAGTTTCTGACATAACCTAACAGAGCTAATGATAGGAAAATGACAGCTATGATTAGGGAAATGTCCTGTTCATTAGAGTGACCTGGAAAATGGGAAATATTGAAATTCTCAGTCTGCTCAGAAGAGCTTACAAACTTTATCCTCAATTTGTTATTTGAGAACCATTTTCCTTAAGCAGGAGGTTACATTAGGTCAAAAAAAAGGCAAAAAAGAATGTATGTACCCAAATGTCTTCCCTCAAGGGTATGTTTTTTATTCTTTGTAAGAAATGTCTCTTGTTTTAGCTGGGCCTGTGAAGCTGAGCTTTCCTCCCCTCTGCTGAGGCAGAAATTCACCTTTCATGAAATTTTCTTTGTTAGACCTTTAAGCTGATAAAATCTGATAGTCAGGAACTTGCTATTTGACAATAGCACATGAAAGGGGAGTGATTGCTAGGGACAAGCACACGGCCTGGGCTGTCCTTGCTGCCCTGCACTGGACACAGAGCCAGCATTTGTCAGGGCCATGGACAAACACAGGTAAAAACTTATCATAGCTCAAGTCTCCTCCCAGAGCCTGGGAAGGAAGAGGGGCAGGCAGGGTCACCTGGTGCCTGTCGAGAGCGATGGCCGTGAGGGTCAGTGTGGAGACATGGAGGGAGCAGTACTGCACAAAGCGGCTGATGTGGCACATGGCCTTTCCAAAAATCCACGTGCTGTTCACAAACCGGACCTGAGGGGAAACAATGGCTCATCAGCCAGAAAATGTGCTGAAAACAAATCCACGGGGATTTGTTTTGTTTTCCAACAAGTCCCATGGCTGGAACCTGAGCGGGCTCAGGGGTTCTGGCTGGTTGGGCAGCTTCACCTCAAACTTACAGAAAGATCAGCTATCCTGGTCTCTGAAACAGCTTTACAGAAGAGTTTATAAGGTCAAACCCCACTGATTATGAAGTGGTGAGGCCCGTTCTGCAGAGACTGTGAACAGTGGTAAAACCTTTTTATTACACTAACAACTATATTTGGAAAAAGTGGACCAAGGTTTGATATCAACCCCACTGTCACATTCGGAGAGCTTTCATTGAAGCTTTATCCAGCTGTCATCTCTGAAAAGCTTGACTGCTTTCTTCCAGTCACCCAGTATGACTGGCATTCAGAACCACTAAGGGACTCTCTAATGCTCTTCAACATGAACATTAAAAACACAGGACCTTGTTCTCATTCCCAAAGAGGCTCTTGGTGGGGTTTGGTAGCACACATTGCAATAGATTTCGGAGTTTTTGGACTCTCTGTGTCTAACAGAGCAACAGAGAGCCCACAGGTTGCTGAACAGTGTTTTACTTGCCTGGTAGAGTTATCAGACTTGGTGGTGTTGGGTTCCCACCTCAGCCCTAGGAGAGAGTGCACAGAAAGCCTATGACCACCAGGCAGAGTTCTGGTGGGTGGGAAACTCCTGTCCTGCTTGAAGGGACAGCATGACCAGCTACTTACCAAGGTGAAAGGTGTGTTGAGCAGTGTGATCATGATGTCTGACACTGCCAGGTTGACGATGAAGAGGTTGGTGGCTGAGTGCATCCTCTTGTTCTTCAGCACCACGTGGCACACCAGCATGTTCCCGAAGAGAGACATGACGATAATGACTGAGTATGCCACGATTAGAAGCGCTTTCACTGTTGGTTTCTGGGATTCTGGCTCATATTTAGCCAGCTCAGCAAATTTCTCCCACTCAACAATGCGGCTCTCTGTCCAGTTGAAGATGCTCCTGTTAGTTGTGTGGTAGATGGACATGAGCTTGGCCAGGGAGGAGTAATGGTCCAACTCCTCAAGAAGCCCTGTCACCTGTGACCTGTATGGCTGAAGCAGTGAGTGAGGCATGGCAGGGTGACCCCAGTCTTCCCTGCTGGGGAGTAGCACCAGTGGTGTGTCAGAAAGAGGCAGGTTTGGGACCACACATTCACATAGCAAGAAGAGCAAGAACTTCACAGGTGAGCTCTGGGCTCAAGCAGGCTGCCTGACCATCCCGTGGTGCTGTCACGGGAATTTCTTCTCAACGCACAAACGTTCACCTTCCTCTCTAAACAAATCCAAAGACGTCTTTCCAGCGGTGATCTGAATTCTGAATAGCACCCAACGCTTCACTCCCTGGATCAGATAGGTCTGTATGTGACACTGAATATATTGCAACATGATTACACCCCAACCACAAGAAGAAACCAAACTCCCCACCCTTACCCCTCTCCCTAACTCCTGCCCTTAGCCCCTCTCACTCACCCCACACTGCCCGGCCAGTTTTATTCCTCACGGCGCCCAGTCCCAAGGGGCAGCAGCGGCTCCTCCGGCTGCTGCGCTGGACACCCCGCACCGCACACCCGCCACTCTCAACACACCCTGCACCGCACCCCTGCACCGCACCGCACCCCTGCACCGCACCGCACCCCTGCACCGCACACACCCGCGCATCCTGCACATCCCTCTCACAGAGCACGCCTCTCACCCCGCTCCCCTCTTACCCCGCACCCCTCTTACCCCGCACCCCGCGCCCCTCTCATCCCGCACCCCGCACCTCTCTTACCCCGCACCCCGCACCCCTCTCATCCCGCATCCCGCACCCCTCTTACCCCGCATCCCGCACCCCTCTCATCCCGCATCCCGCACCCCTCTTACCCCGCACCCCGCTCCCCTCTCATCCCGCACCCCGTGCCCCTCTTACCCCGCGCCCCTCTCATCCCGCATCCCGCACCCCTCTTACCCCGCACCCCGTGCCCCTCATCCCGCACCCCGTGCCCCTCTTACCCCGCTCCCCTCTCATCCCGCATCCCGCACTCCTCTCACCGCGCTGCCCCGGTACTCCCGCACGTGCGGCCGGCGGGGCCGGGACCGCGGCTCGGGGCGGGGCTCGGGGCTGCTCCATTCATAAATCGGCGCGGGCGGGGCCCGGAGTCGTTACCGGGGTTCATCGGTGCCGCGGTTCCCTGCGCGCACCCGCCGGTGCCGGTGCCGGTGCCGGTGCCGCGGTACCCAGCGGGGCCGCGACGCTGCGGGGCCGGGGCGGAGGGCAGCGCCCGGCACAGTGGCGAGCGGGCACGGAGCATCCGTGCTTGCAGAGTCCCCGGCACTGCCTCAACGGGAAAAAGGGAAAACCACCCCCACAAACCTCTCCCGGCCCGAATCTTTGCGGAAAGGCTCCTGGTGGAGTTTCAGCGCTTGTTTCTGATAAGTGTTTCTCTCACGGCTGGGTGCCTCTTGACAGATGCTGACCCAGAAGAGAGTTTAGGTTTCAAAGACTTCAGGCAACATATTTTTAAACTAGATAGTACGATCCTTCTCATTTTGCATGAGAGACACAGGACAGGGGACATAGAGAATGTGCCTCTTGCCAGACTCCAAATTCTGCTCCTGAGTAAAAAGGCCCCATGCTGACATGAGGAGCCAAGAATTCATTTTCGTTGTCAGTCCGGGATTTAACAGCCCAGTGCAGTTCAATAAACACCTACAGGCATTCTGTGTGTTCCAATGATAAGAACATTTATATTTTCCAAATTAATTACTTTTTCCTAATTCCAATGAATAATGCATTTTTAAAATGTTGTTCGCAAGTGCCCTGATGCCTGTCCTGGTACCTGGCATTTGTAACCTCTATCAGAGCATGATGACAATTAAAACATTCGATTTGTCCTATTCTGGGGCTATTTGCCATGGAGCAAACTCGGCATCCCAGCTAGCACTGTGTCAGCCATAGGCTGTTGGAGAGACTAATGAAGATCTTCCTGGCAAATAGTAGAAAAAGGGTCCAGATGAAGACAGGAGGAAAGGTTTGTATATTTGGTGTGTATTTCCAAGGAACTGGTTCTTTGCTCAGAATTTTGTATTTATGGATTCACAGGTCTGAGATGCACCAGCTCCTGACTGTGGCAGAACTCTGGTACAGAAAAAACACATTGAATGTTTATTACCACTATAGCAGGATGATCTGGGAGGTTTCGGCTATTTTTTAGCCCCCCTGAAGCCATTCTCACTGTGGCTGTGAGATTCTTGTGCATCCAAATAACCATTTCATTATCCTCCCATGCTGTTCTTGCTGGCATACATTATCACTGGCTTAGAGCTGCAAGCTCAGAAGAGGAGAGCTATGAGTTTAGTCTAATCATATTTCCAGCTAAATCCCAGGCATGTTAGCTTTCTCCAGGTGCAAATTGTTGAACTATGGTATGTGTTAGAACCTCCTGAAACACTCAGGCCCTCACTGGCTAAGGAGCTAAGACTTGATCCATTACACAGCAATAATCACAACCAGCCTGTCCTCCCCTCAGACCCCTGATGGAGCTGCCAGCCCCATGTGTTCCATGTCATTAGACAAGTCTGTGATTGATGCTCATCTGGTTTTATCTGTCAGAAAGACTTCAGGAGAAGGAATGGTTGTGTTGTGGATTAAAATAGTTGGAGTATTTTCCCCGCCCTTCTTGAGCAAAATTCCAGTTACCTGCCTGTCTCTGAGGAGACTGCATGCTGGAGGGTATCACTTTGTTCTTTTAAAAGTTTTAATATTCTTTTAAAAAGTTTTCTATACCTTCTAATATTTACATATTTATACTAGAGTTCTCACACACTGTTCATGTAAATAATGATTGTTTTAAATTCTTCTTTGTAAGAGGAGAAAATTGATAGACTATTAGTTTATCCAGTGTAGTTAGAGAGGTAGAAATTTTATCCTTCAATCCACTGTCACTTTTAGAATTCTATATATTGCGAAGTCAGAAATAAATGTTACTTCCTTTTACTCTTTTGATCTTAGTGTGAGTGTGTGAGTTATTTCGTGTAGTAGTGCCACATGAGGGATTAAAGGTATTCAGTGTCTTTCTTTCTTGTGTCTTACTCTTAAATGTCAGAAGGTGCTTTTGTTTCCTGGAGTGCTGGCTTCCCTCTGGACAGAAGAATTAATAAAAGTGCAGCTACATAGGCACCAGAGGCACTGGAAATGAAGAGCTGCAGAACTCCTCTTTTTGCCCTCAGACATTGGCGTATGTTAGATTTTAGGGCACAGAATGTATAGCTGAGCCCCTGAAATATTAATTACCAAGATCTACATTGAAGGTGCTACCAATGTGCACAGCCCAGACATGGGCTGCAGCCCAGCTCAGGTTTGCCTGAGGTGGCAGCAGGGTGAGAGTTTGGCACCAGGCACTTCCACCTGAGCCTGGCTCTCTGAGTGCTTCTGGAACCTGCCTCCCACCCGAGCTTTCAGCAGCCCCATGGAGGTTTTCAGGCTCCTCTCACCTGGCATGGACACCCCAGATTTCTAAACAATGGGCATTGCACATCTAAAACAGAAACTACAACCCAATTTTAAACTCATCTTCCAATTTATATCAAATTAAAATTCAGGGGGCAGGAACTGGGAAGTGCAAATAGTCATCCATGATAATCAAAGCTCAGTTTCCCCAGGGTCAGAATATGATCTGGCATCAGTTGCCACTGACATGTGAACAGTGCTTTCATGTGCATTAGGTCAGAGCCTGCCTTTATCATATGCTCTGACTGGCTCTGAGATTCAGCACAGGAGAGTGGGTGGAGGGGCACCTTGTACAAAATAGGCTTCAAAAGGAGAAATAAGAAAAGAGCAAGAATGCCACAGCAATTGAAATTGATGTCCTGTGAACAGTTACAATTCAGACTTCATAATTCAAAATACAAATGGGAATTGCATAATAGCTACTAATAATGCAACTTCAGGGTAGTTGGAAAAGAAAGGCTTTATAATGGATTTGATAGTCCTTAAGGTTCAGCTGTAAGGTTTGAGTGACAGAACAAAGAGAACTAACATTGTATCTATGTATTACAATCTCCCATTGTAAGTGCGCCCTCTCCCCGCTCTGATGGGCTTTGTCTAGTGACCCATTGGGGCTGGATCTTCAGACTGCTTTTTTTTTTCTTCTCCTTGGAAAAAAATCATACAGAATGACTGACAGCGCACCCAATTCCTGTCTGATTGCTGGCCCCCTGATTTTCAATGGGATGTGAAAACCTAGCAAGTAACAGTACCAGCCAGCTCCTACCTGTGCTGTCCTGCCAGCTCTGAGTGCTGCAGCCTGGCCATGGCTTGGGCCATCAAAACCTGCCCTTTGGTTTGGTGCAGCCCATCTGCGTGGGAATTCAACCCATCAATGTGCATTGTCCTTTGCTGGGGTGAAATCTCAGCTTCAGAAGCCCCTGAACCTTGAACACTCCTTACGGTGTGTTTTCTTTTTTAGGTGGTTCTTCTCCCCCTTCTGTGTGGTAGTCAAGACAGAAAAACAAACAAACAAAGCAAAAAAAATCCCATTTTCCTCTTTGCTAATGAAAGGGTCTTGACAAAGAGTGGAAAGGGTAAGTCACTTTCTGTGTGTGGTGTGCATGGGGGCTGCTCTAGGGGATATTAATTCCCTCATCCCTGCCTGCAGCTCACTGCAGGGGCACCGGCCAGGGCTTGAGTCCTCCTGCACAGGTACAGGAACACTGAGCAGGGACACCCTCACATCCAGGTGGGACCACATGCTACCCACACCTCCACTGCACTGAGCTCACAAGGAGCCTTTTAACCTTTGCTGAACCATTCAAAACTCAAACACCTCTCCCAGCATCTGAACTCAGCCCCTGTGCGAGCGCATGGCTGGTTTGAGGCCAGAGAGCTGCAGCTCTGCAAGCAGGACTTTGTCAGAGCAGCTTCCCTTCAGAGGTGCCTGGAGTGGAGACCAGCAGCTGACAGACACTGCACAGACCCTGTCACAAGCTCAGGAAAGAGATGGATGTGTTTGACAAGATGAGGAAGACTCAGGCAGCACCCTACCCTGTGCTGTACTTCCCCTGGCTTTTAAGAAGTGCCATCCTGGAATGGCTCATTATCTCTGTTCCCTTCCAAGACCTAATTAATTTAAAGCATGATAGGTTTGCTGGGATGACTCATACCAAAGGAAAGGAGGAATGAAGACAGGACTTTAAAAGCATCGGTACAATATAAATTTACTTCAAACCTCTGTCCTTTGTGCAGCTCTGACCAAAGGAAGAGATGTGACCAAGGCTGAAGTTGCCTGAGCCAGCAAGGGACAGTCGTGCAGAGGCTGATGGCAGCTCTGGCATCCTGCTGAGTTCCATCTGGGGACAAGTCACCCACCAGGGCCTTGATTCCTGATCAGCACAACAACCACAGGCACCAGCAGCTGATGGGGAGGGGCACAGGGGGCAGGAGCCCCTG